GCACAAAAATGGTACACAGATGTGTCTATGCAGGCAAAATATTCATACTCATAAAAACATTAAAGATATTTTGAAAGTTTTCTTTTCCTTGAGACTGGGTTTCTCGGTGTAACAGAGTTGACGGTACTAGAAATTATTTCAGGTTGGCCTGAAACTCAGAGAACGTCCTGCCTCAGCCTTCAAAGTGCTGGGATTAAAGGTATGTGCACCATCACCCAGCATTTAAATTATTTCTTTAATTATTTTTATTCCTGTATATATTTCTATGTGCCTGTGTGTAGTGTCCATGGAAGCCAAAGTCATCAGATCTCATTTTATCATTATTTATTTTTATTTCCTGTGCACTGGTGATTTTGCCTGCATGTATGTCTATATAAGGGTATTGCATCCCCCAGAATTGAAGTTACAGACAGATGTGAGCTGCCATGTGGTTCTGATTCCAGGTCCTCGGGAAGAGCAGCCAGTGCTCTTATCCACTGAGATATCTCTTTAACCCATCAAATCTCATTCCAATTAGGCTTTCAGGCTCTTGCGAGCTTCCTGATGTGGATACTGAGAATTTCTTGGGTCCTGGATCAGAGCAGAACATGTTCATAGTTGCGAACCCATCACTCCAGCCTTATTTGTTTGTTTCTCCCCTGACTTTGAATTTGGCAAGTCCTCACCATGAGCCCTCACTGACCTGTTGCCTACTTTGTAGAACAGGCTGGTTTTGAACTTGCAGAGATCCACCTGCCTCAGTCTCCAGAATGCTAAGGTTAAAAGTGTATTCTACTGTACATCACCCTGTGTATTTGTTTTTTTTTTTTTGTTTGTTTGTTTTTTGTTTAAAAATTTGTAATAGGCAGAGTTGCAGAGATAGCTCAGCATTTAGGAGAACTGACTGCAGAACTCACATAGCAGTTCACAGCCATCTGTAACTCCAGTTCCAGGAGATCCAAGCCCCTCTGTATGCTCCAAAAACACTGCATGCACATGATATACAATAGACAAACAAAACACCATACAAGTAAAAAACAAAACAAAACTCTATCTATCTATCTATCTATCTATCTATCTATCTATCTATCTATCTATCTATCTATCTATCTTTCTATCAATATATAGATATAGCTGGGCACAGAGGACCAAACCTCTAATTCTAGTGCTGGAAAACAGAGACAGGTGGGTCTCTAAGTCTGAAGCCAGCCTGGTCTATATAGTGAATTCCAGGTCAGCCAGAGCTAATTATAAGAAATAGGTAACACGGCGGGCGATGGTGGCGCACGCCTTTAATCCCAGCACTCGGGAGGCAGAGGCAGGCGGATCTCTGTGAGTTCGAGACCAGCCTGGTCTACAGAGCTAGTTCCAGGACAGGCTCCAAAGCCACAGAGAAACCCTGTCTCGAAAAACAANTCTGTGAGTTCGAGACCAGCCTGGTCTACAGAGCTAGTTCCAGGACAGGCTCCAAAGCCACAGAGAAACCCTGTCTCGAAAAACAAAAAAAAAAAACAAAAACAAAACAAAACAAAAAAAAAAAAAACAAAAAGAAAAAGAAAAAAGAAATAGGTAACAGTCTAAGTGTTTGTCTGCGCACATGTGAAAGCAGACGCCTATGGAGTTCAGAGGGGACATGGGGTCAGTGCCTTTGAACATGGAGTTATAGTTGGCTGTTGACCAGCTGATGTTCAATTCTGGGAGCTGAACCCAGGTCCGCAGCTGTCCATGCTCTTCACTGCTGAACTGACTCTCCAATGCCCTCTCCTGCTATATTGACTCCGTGAGTCTGTTTGTGCTGCAGACACAACTGTGTCTATGTGTAGATGAGTTCACATACTTGCTGACTTTAGATGAATGCGGTCGTAGTAATTCCCCACTGCTGGTTAGGAGTCTCAGTTAACTGTATGTTATTCACTAAACTGTGGGGTGTCCATCATTTGGGGAGTGCCGTGGTGCCATTCCAGTTCCTATGGATACTCTGTATTTCTATGTCCCTCAAAAAAGCACACTCCAGCCTTAGTGTCAGAAAATGGAAACAGTCACCTGGGTCCCGGTGCTGGGGACCCACAGCTCAAGAAATGCACCAAAATGGAAAGATACTGTGCTTTGAATTTCCCAGAAATACCCGGTGCTGAGGCCTAGCCTCTCTCTCCCAACAAGCTGCTCTACTCTCTGGGGGTTAGTGTACTGGCAGGTCCTGGACTTGTCTAGCAAAAAAGGGCAGGAATCAGAGTATTTCAGGCACTGTCTCTGTGTCTTCAGCATTCTAGTTTGTGGTTGTGAGCCTGGCCTAGGTAATGACTGAGCTAAATGTCCAGCCAACAGCCTATTTTTATGTTTTTAGTTTGCTTTTTGTTTGTTATTTCGTGTTACTAAAGATCAAACCTTTGCCTATCTAAGATAGGAGCCCCATTCCTGAGTTCTATCCCTAGGCTTGTCCGTGTGTGTGTGTGTGTGTGTGTGTGTGTGTGTGTGTGTATGTGTATGTGTACGTGTGTGTGTGTGTGTTTGTTTCTGTTTTAAAGGTGAGTGTGTATACAGCTCCGGGAGTTTTTGTACCTAAGATTTCCCTGACTCATGTTAGGAAGTAACTCGAATCCAGTGTTTTGATCTGTGGCTGTAGGTTTAGCTGGTACTGGTCAGTCTTGTTTCTTCACAGCATGGAAAGTCCTAGCATTTGCCACCTGTGACCTGGGTGGCCAGGAAATCTTCTGACAGGATCAATTCCATGTGAACCTGAAGGATCACGAACCAGGGGCCAACCATGTTCATATTGCCTCATGTCAGAGTGCCCAAGGCCATGGCACAAGATATGGAAGGGTTTCTGCTGCCCTGGTACCAGAGAGTTAGCAAGCACTGCCCTCCTTTACCGCCCCTACCTGTGTGTGTGTGTGTGTGTGTGTGTGTGTCTAATCCATCCTGTGTGTTGCAGATGTGAATCTTGTCTTAGAGTTTCCCATGGATACAAAGCCCATGAAAATCTTGGTTGGGGCAACGGGCAAAATGGCGTTACCTCCTGAATCATGTAGTTGCACTTAGCATTATAATTTTGGAATCTTCATTCAGATCTTTTTTGAGCATCTGGACACCTACTAGATAAAGTGTAAATATATGGAAAAATAAAAATGCCATAGGCTGAGGGAAAGCTTCAGTCCACCGAGGCTGGGACTCTTGAGGCTGCAAAGGCTCAAAGTGTCTCTGAGTCTTCATTTCAAGGACCCACACGAACCCACACATCTGTGCTGCAACATCCATGACACACAGATGTCCAGGTTAGGAAAATATGACCCTTTTCTCCTTCCTGGCCCCTGGTGGATGGGCGAGCTCCAGTATTGTGCTAGGAAGTGTCACTATGGGTGCCAGTTCAAATGCTTCCCAGACATTCAGTTCTTCCTCAGCCTCCTGCGTCTACCCGGCCCAGGCAGTCTCAGGTATGACTATTATATGTCCATGGTTTGTTCTTGATGTAATTCCACTGTCAGCATTTCCCCATGTCACAGAACGTGTGTCCTGCATGTGCTTTGGGAGATGAAGTCACTGTGTCTTCTGTTTGTTAATTCAGGAGTTTGCCTTATGTCGAATAAGAACTAAAAGACTGAGAGACTTAGAAAACCAGTGAAGGCCGGGTTGGAGGTCCCCAAGTCCCTTTTCTACATGACAGGCTTCAGTGCAATCACCTCATCCCAAGCAGTCGAGTCTTACACAGAATGCTTTAACCACAGCCTCCCTGATACCCGAAATTACACACCCACATACCCACACACTCTGGGCATGGCTGGGCTGAGCAGGCAGGAGTTCGTGACTGTGAGTTTCTCTGGCACAGTGCCCAGTGTGTCCTGGGCATCCATGCTCACCCTCATTGAGCAGCATCTGTAGCTGTGACATCCATGTATGGATCTAGGCAGGTGACTGCCTTGCAATAAGACTTGGCCCTGAGCAGAGTTTAAATAGACCAGAAGCCTAGGTGGAGGGCACAGTTTTTCTGTCCTGACTGCCACTCTCTGTCCTGGCCACTGTCTCCAAATTACCACACGGAAACTAATATTCCTTGTAAATGCTCGGCCAATAGCTCAGGTTGTTACAAGCTAACTCTTACATTTAGATCAACCTATGTCTACTAATCTATGTATTGTCACGTGGCTGGTGGCTTTACTTGTTCTCTAGCATGTCTTCTTTCTGGGCAGCTGGCTGGTGTCTCCTCACTCTGCCCTCCTTCTTCCCTACTTTCTCAGTCTGACTTTCCAGCCTGACTTCCTGCCCAGCCACCAGCCTGTCAGCTTTTTATTAGCAATGGCAATAGTACATAGCCATAGTGTAGAAAAGGATTCTTCCACAGCAACCAGGGGAGGGTGATGGCTGGGAAATAAGGTTACTTTGAACATTGTCCTTTATGCTGACCTGTGATCTTTGTACCTTTGAGACACAAAAGTGACCATTCTGCAACTGATGCAGCCAAGGCTAAAGGCATGCATTTGTGAGTAGGGGCCATAGATGCTCCAAGGTGGAGATGGCTTGAGGCTCCCCTGGTGCCTGGGGACATGTGGAGGTCCAGGCCCTCCAGCTGCAGGTGGTCTTCCTGCTACCACCCAGCTCTTTACTCTTTGCAGTGTGTTACACAGATCCTGTCTTCCTGCTCTAAAGATTGAATTCATCACTACCTGCCCATATTTTCTCTGGCAGCTGCAGAAAGCTATACTTTCTACAGCTTAGAGCACGTCTTCATGCAGGAGGCCCCTCTTCCCACCTCCAACACAGAACACAAAGGGTTAAATTAAAATGAAAAGAATCTCTGTGGAGCCAGGTGTGGTGGGGCAGGCATGCTTTGTAATCCATGTACTGGTGGGTGGGCATAGGGCAAGGGGTAGGTTGGAAATGGGACTGGAAACAGAAGGATCAGGAGTTCAAAACCAACCTAGTCTAAATTAGGGATCTGAGAGGCCAGGCTGGGTTACAGGAGACCATTAAACCTATCTCAAAACAAAACAAAACAAAACAAACAAACAAAAAAAAAAACCCCACAATACAAGGACCTGCCGCTTTAAAAGGAGGTCTATGACTCCAGCTTGACTGAAATTCCAGCCTCTTGGAACCTTGCTTTGGGATCCCAGGATACATCCTCAGCGGTATTTGGAGACCAGTGCCAAAGTCACAAGGCCCAGGAACTTGTCTAGGGAGGCGTGCATCATTGGGCTGAAGTCTCCAGGATAGTGTCGGGCAAGAGTCACCAGCAGACAGTGGCTGAAGAACTGGATTAGAGAAAGAATCGCCCCGCCTTGCTGTTATCTCTCCCTGACACCCAGACTTGAAGGAACCCTCTCTGCAGCAGCCACCAGAGCAGCTCAGTCCCAGAACCCACCTGAAAGTTGGCGGGGTCTACTCGGAGCTTGTGAGCATGCAGGTCGCTGAGAGCAGAGAGAGAACCAGGCAGGTCGTCCAGGTGGTGGGCAGCGAGAGTCAGAGCATCGGCCACCTTTTGGCCATGGGCTTTAACCTGCCTAGAGCCGGGACTCAGGTCGAAGTGTGGGAAGTAGGTTTTGGTGGCAGGGAAAGCCATGAAGGTCCTGTGGGAAAACTGAGTTGGGTGCATCCTGGCCGGGAGGTGTAGAGAGCCCTCCTTTGCCCGGCCGTCCATTGGAAGGTGAGCCCGAGGGCGCCCGAGGGGGTCCTTACCTCTCCAAGGCCTCGGTCGTGTAGATTCCAACATTGGTGCTCATCTTTTTCCATAGCGCGAGAACCAGAGCGCGCTCAGTCTGGGACAGAGCCGTCTTCACTGAGCTGTGTCCTCGCTCCTGGCTTCCCGGCTCTGGGCAAGGATTCCCGGAAACCCAGGGTGCCGCCAGGGGGCGCCGCTGCGTTCCTGCTCGCCTAGGTGCTGGGTTTATCTAGGTGCTGTAAGCCGTGTGTCCCTCTGAGCCCCAAAGCTCTATGGACAAAAGTATCTAATATGTACTACCGTATTACATTTATCCTGCCTCCCGAGTCCTTAGGCTATTTCATAGGTGTCCGTCCCTTTCTCATTCAGTAGTGAAAAGGATTTCTTCTTGGTGTAACTTTCCCTCGAGTAGTCCCATAGCCTGACTTGTCTATCTTAGTTTTCCCCTGGAGCACGTCTCTTTTTATTAAATTTCACGTAGTTCAATCTACATTTAAAGGGGCTGGAGAGACGTCTCAGCAGTTGAGAGCACTGGCCGTTTTCCCAGAGGACCTGGGTTTGATATCTACCACCTACAGGGCAGGTCACAGTTGTGTGTAACTCCAGATCCAGCGGATATGAAGCCTCTTTCTGTCCTCCGCGGGCTGCAAGTGGTGCGCACACATTCATGTAGTCAAAACACCCATGCGGATAAATATAGAATATAACAAATTCAAATCTACCTTAAAAAGCTCTTTAAACCTGGTGTGGTGGCGGAGGCACAGGTGAATCCCAGCACCCAGGAGTGAGAGGCAAAGGGATCTCTGTGAGTTCAAGACCATCCCCGGCTACATAGGCATTTCAGACCAGCCGGAACTACATAATGAGATCCTGGCTCTACACTCCCTCCCGCCCCCCCAATGCAATCCCTTTTAATAAATTCCAAATTTATTAAAATATAAAAATATATGCCTATATATAGTGTCAATGATGATAGCAAGGGTAGTGGCTCACTCGGTGCTCTGTGTCAGTCTACACTAAATGTGTGTGTCTACGTGCGGATATGCTCTGGGATTGCAAGTTCTGGGATTGCAGGCACGTGCCACAAAGCCCCGTGTATTCTAGCTGTCTTTGATGTGTACAAGTCAGTGATCTTACGTTCATTTGCAATTTTATGCAGTCATCCCTTATACCCATTTCCTGAATTTTTCCTCACCTAAATAGAGCCTCCAGCCCCCTAGCGTTAGTTATCCAACCCTTCCTAAAGCCCCTGCTAACCGGGAGGGTGCTTGCTGTCCCTATAGATTTGCTCACTTTGATATTTTACAAACATAAAATCATGTGCTGTGTGGTCTTTGCCCCATTGCTTCTTCTGCTCAACATTTTTTTTTTTAGCTCATTCACATAATATACAAAATTTACTCTTTGGTGTCCATGGCTGAAAAATATTCTGTTGTGAGGTACAGACATAGCTCTGTTGATAGAATGTTTGTGCAATACGTGTATATACACATACATGTGCATGAATGTGTGTATATAGTATCGCATATATGAACTTATCCAGCCCTGAGTTCAGTGCCCAAGCACTGCACAGACTGGACATGAAGGCACACATTTTAAATCTCAGCACTCAGGAGTTAGAAGTAAGAGGGTCAGGAGCTCAAGGTCATCCGTGGCTACATAAGATATTTTAGTCCAGCCTGGGTTACATGAAGCCCTACAAAGAGAAAAAAGAAACCGAAGGAAGGATAGGAGGAAGCAAGCAATGAAGAAAAGGAGAGCAGACATTTTTGGGTGTAGGCCACCTGTTGCCTACCGTCACGGTCGTGGGAGGGCGCTCCATTTTTAGCTGTTGTCTAGTAGGGCCCACCCTGATGTACAAGAGGTATTAAGGACATCACTACCTGAGAGGGCCTGAGATAGGAATTCCTAAAACATGATTCCTTGATTCAGAGAGAAAAGCCAGAGCTGTCAGCAGAGGGCTTGGATGGACTGCTGCCAAGCCTGCTGCTGCTCCAGTCTCAGAGCCTGCTCTGTAGGAGAAGGCTTGTGTGTGTGGACACACTCGCTTCTGCTCCATTGCCTCTGAACCTTGTCTCTACTGTGGAGAGGGGCGTCAGGGCGGGGCTGGGAAACGACACCAAGCCTGTCCCAATGATTAAGTTTTCACCTCTTTATGGTCCTCAGACATGACTGTCCAAAGTGTGGGCATGAGGTGTGGCACCTACACAGACTTGTGCCTGCAGTGGCACCATTCAAACCCCCAGTTTCATTCTTGTTTCTGGTCTTCAAAGGGAGTCTAAGGGGTGGGTGAATGAGGATTCAATATCACTCCGTAAAAAGGGAGGACTGGAGCAGTCACCTGATGGGGAAACCTGGAAATTCTGGTCGTGTGTGTGTGTGTGTGTGTGTGTGTGTGTGTCTGTCTGTCTGTCTGTGTCTGTGTGTCATGAAAGGTAGCAGTAGGGAGGACACCGTAGTCCAGCAAATTCATGTTGAACCCGGTGGGAAACCCAGGGTAAGAGTAACCCAGCCAGGGACTGCAGAACAAGGGGTTGTCCAGAGACCCTGGGCAGGAGACTCTGCTTGCCCCTCTTCTCTCCACTTCTTCTTTTTCCTCCCTACTCTAGTCTGGCATTCTGCCTCAGCACAGGGGACCTGAGTCCCAGGCTGGGCATATGACCTCCCCCAGGCTTCCCCGTGTCAGTCGGGCACCTGTGCAGATGCAGACCACCCAGGCACACAGGCTTTTTCCTACTTAGGCTTTATTCAAAGACCAAGAGGTACAGGTGCAAGGGAGGAGAGACTGCCTGTCCAGAAGGCAAGCCTGGCAGGAGACGCCCTGAAGCTCCAGTTTAACGGTACTTGGAGGTCAGCACGGTGCTCACAGAGGCAAGGAATTTGTCCAGAGAGGCATGCACTGCAGGGGTGAAGTCGGCAGGAATGTGGTTGGCCAGGGTCACCAGCAGGCAGTGGCTCAGGAGCTGTGGAGACAGGAAGTTTCAGACCATGGAGTAGACACCTAGTCCCCTTGTCTTGAGGGGCCCCATGACCTCCTTTGCTTGTCCCAGATGCTGCCCCCCACCTCCTATCAGCCACCGCTCCCCCCATTGCTGCCACCATTCAGCCCCAGCCCATACCTTGAAGTTGACAGGGTCCACACGCAGCTTGTGGGCGTGCAGGTCACTCAGAGCAGACAGGGCACCGGGCAGGTCATCCAGGTGTCCAACTGCGGTGGTCAGGGCATCGGCGACTTTCTTGCCGTGGGCCTTGACCTGGGCAGAGCCGTGGCTCACATCAAAGTGAGGGAAGTAGGTCTTGGTGGTGGGGTATACCACGAACATCCTGTGGGAAGAAGGTGGGGAGAGGAGTTGAGGTCACAGGAAAGCATAGTTAAGGGATGTCCTCTGTGCACCGTGTCTGCTTTGGATTCCATGGCCCTTCCAGAGCAGAGTTCTCACCTCTCTAGGGCCTCGGCGCCATATTCACCAGCATGGCCGCCAATCTTGCCCCAGGCATTCTTGATGTTGGTCTTGTCGTCCCCAGAGAGCACCATGGTGATTCCTTCCTGAGTCTGTCAGAATCAGAAGTGTGTTGGGCCTGCAACAAGCAGCTCTTATATACCTGCTGTGCCTGGGACACGCCCTTGGGGCAGCCCTCATTGGCTGACTAGGGTGGTTCACTGCAGAGCGAGGCAGGCAGGGGGCGCCCGTGGTTGGGGAGATGGCAATAGGCTTCCACTGCCTGTTGGAAATCCTTATCACCCTCTGCGGTGCTTCTTGATCATTTTCTTTGTCTTCAAAGATGTGTGTTTAAGAAAGAATTAGGGTCCCAAAGCCTTGTGCAGAGAAGGCAGTTGCTCAGACCTGCCTGAGTAGTGCCCACCCTCCACCTTGCTCTGGGTCCCAGCTTCTCACTCTCTTTTCTAACCCAGACACTCCCTGCTCTGCCCCACACTCTTCTTCTGGGAACAAGAAGGGTAGATAGATCCTGGGCACCCACAGAGGAGCCCTTTCTCCCTGTATTTTCTCCCTCCTCTCTCTCGTCCCTTTGTCTACTCTCTCCTCTCCTGGCTCCTCCTTTCTTTTCTTTTCCCTCTCTCTCATTTTTCTCGTTTTGTGTGAACAGATTTTGCTCTGATGACCAGGCTGACCTAGAATCCTCTGGCTCAAGCGAACCCCCTGGTCAGCCTTCTAAGTGCAGGGAACTGCAGGAGCAGGGCACCAGACTCTCTGACTTGTATCTCAGCTGCCCAGGGCTCCCATGGATGCAAAGGAAAGATACTGAGAGCTGACTTTGGTGTTGCACATGGGGAACCTCGGGTCCTAGCAGGCTGAGGCAGGAGGCTTGCCTGAGCCCAGGAATTCAAGGTCAGTCTCTGCAAAGAGAGACCCCATCTTTCTAATATGAGCAAACAGTAGCAAAGAAACTGGGGTGTAATTGATGGCAGAATGTTTACCCAGTTTGAAGAAGGTTCTGGATTCAGTTCTAGCAGTGCAAAAATAATTGGACACAGAGCATGAGGGTGTGTCCAGTTGAAAATCCTGGGCTCAGTTCCAACTTCTTTTACTTGGGGTGAGGATGGCTGAGCAGAGGGACTTCCTACTGGAATAACACAGAAGTGTCTGTGAAGTCTAAATGGCTGTTCATGTCTCCTCTGCTCTCCTCTCCTCCCCTCCCCTCCTCTCGCCTCTCCTCTCTTCTCTTTTCTCCTTCTCTCTCTTTCTTCCTTGCCTTCTTTCTTGCTCTCATTTCTTTCCTCTCCTTTTCCCTTTTCTATTTTTCCCTTCTGACTTGAGACAGGTGGCCATGCAGCCCACTGGCCTTCATAGCTCACACAGATTGCTGAGACCGGATGAGCACTTTTCTTTTCTGTGCTTCCATTGATCTTGAATGTATGACCTTCCTGCTTGCACCTCTCAAATTTTGGGGTTACAGTTTGCACCAAAACACCTAGCTTAGTTTTTTTTTTCAAGCTGAGCCTGTCCTTGAGTTAGTTATTCCCCTACCTCAGTCTCCGCAGTAGCTGGGACCACTACCCTAACGATGTGTTCTGCTGTGATCTGTGTTGCCTGTTCAGCTGCTATTGGTCAGTGACATTTCCAGGGAGAAAGCACATCTCAGAACCTTCCTTCTCAGTCCCCCGAGACAACCACCCTCGGAAGGCTGGCTTTTTCCAGGCTTTGGGAACCATTCCAGGGCCCTTCTCTCTGGATGCTCACACTGGCTCCCCTCCCCCACTGCTTCAGAAAAGTCCTTGGGCCAAGACAGTAGAAGCACGGCCGCTGCTGACATGTCCGTGACAGAGAGAACCCGGACACATAGGTTGCCACTCAGACTGATTTTATTCGGACCAGGGCATGCAGGTGTGGAATGGAAGGAGAGCGAAGAGAACAGGGGTCGGTCCCCAAGGTTCTGATTTAACCATATCTGGAGGCTTGTTCCTGGCTACAAGTCTCAAAAGCTGTCCAGAACAAAGAGCCACCTCAAGAGTGATTTTAGCTAGGTGGAGGCTGGTGTCATCGGATGCAATGGAAAGAGCTACCATCGATCATCTGTCATCGAGGCCGTGGAGAGCCCCCAACTTCATTCCCTGGAACCTTTGGGGTTGGTTTCATGTACTGAGACCTCTGCCCCTTTATCTTTCTGAGCCCTGCCTGCTTGCTGACTCTGAAGTTGGCCTGGGACACACAGCTCAGTCCACTCAGGACTGCCAGGAGCCCGGAGAAGTTGTTCACTCGGTCCTCTGCATGTCTCAGCACATGGGCTCGCTTCTTGTCTCGGGTCTTGACCGGGACAGAGTCAGGGTTCTGGGTGTAGTCAGGGAAGTAGGTCTTGAGGGAGTTATTGAGCAGCCTGTGAAGAGAAGCAGTGGTAGAGGGTAAAGGGGCTTGGGAACGGCTGGGGAAAGTTCAGTTAGAGACTGTGAATAGGACTGAGGGGTGGCTTTCGCTGTTCAACCTAGAAGTTAGAACCGGGGAGAGGGTAGGAGAGTCCTCATCTCTCCAGGGTCTCCTAATGATAATCCACCTTATGCTTTTTAACCTTGACCCAGATATCCCCCTATCATCAACAAAGAGAACCATGGTGGGTTCTTTCTGAGAACTGCTGGGTCTGGCGAGCCCTGTGCATTTGTGTGGTGTTGAGGAGACTGTGGAAGGGTGTGGGTGCAGCCAGGCTCTGCGGTGAGCTTATTCATCTGAGGAGGCTCTTTTCTGGGAAAATGCAGATGGGAGGGGCTAGGGCTCTGCTCTCAGGGCTGCTTTAAGCCTTGCAGTACTGTATAGGCAGAGACCAGGCTCTACGTGCTGTAAATCGTGTCTCATGGTTCTTGCACAGTTTCTAGAAGCTGCTAAATGCACAGCCCATCTTTTATGGGGCCCAGACTGAGGCTGGTTTGGGAAGAGGAGTCCAATATTTACAGTTTTAAATTACATTTATGTATTTGTTTATTTACTGTGTGTGTACGTGCACATGTGCCATGACACACGTGTGGAAGTCAGAGAACAACTCGTGCGAGTCATCCTTTCCTTCCACCACTGGGTCTTGGGGATTTAATGTGGGTCCTCAGGCTTCGTGGCAAGTGCCTCGACTGGCTGATCCTGTCCCCGGTTGGGCAATCTTCTATGCTATCTTCTATCATGTTTTCCTAAAGACTAAAGCTGTTCCATGTTCGTGTAGCAGTGGGGAGGAGGATGTTAACTTCCCCTCCTCTCTTTGTTCAACTAGTGCTTAGGCAATTTGGGGCACCAAACAGGCCCTCAGCACCAGCTACTGGAGGAGTTCAAGCAACCATGGATAGAGCTTTCCTTTTCAGATCTGGCATTGTGCTGGACCAGGTCG